CAAAATAAGACCATATTACTCCTATTTGGAAACATACCTATTTTTTCATTCCATTCTTACCCCTCCTTTAAATATGAGTAAAAGTTAGTCAAAAGTCATAATTAAATGTTTTAATTCATAATAAATTTGTAAAAAATAATAAAAGTGGTAAAAAAATAATAAAGTATTCATAAAAAAATTATTACTTTTTTATTTATTTTTAAAATTAATAAAAAATTGTAAAAATCCATAAAAAATTAAAAAATATGGATGTCTTTCCCACCGCCTATACTGCTCCCTGCACCACCACCTCCGACTGGTGTAAAAAAGCCATTTTTTCGAAAATGCCAAACAAATGGCATATTACTCTTTGAGAATGACAAAATTTTCATTGAATCTGCCATAAATATGGCATTCCTAATGCATGTGGCATTCCCCCGATGACCGGTGGTGGTGGTGCCGGGGTGGCAGTGATTTGTTTTTTTGCTTTTTTTTTTTTAAATTTGTTTTCTTAAATTATTATAATTGAATAATTTTATTAATTTTTTTTTATTTTTTAAGTATTTATATTATTTTTATTATTTCATTATGAATTACGGAGTAAAACATTTCAATAGTTACAAGGGTATATTTGTGCAAAACACACATAACTAATCCTATGAACATAGTTTAGTCCTATGAACATAACTATTTGTGCTACCGGACAAGCTTAATTGTAGTCTTATATGCATAATTAACACAAATTCAAACCTCAATGCAACCAAGTAAATTTTTTAAATGTGGGTCAAAATAGATGAAGAGTAAAATACGTAGTATGACGATAATTCCTTAAATAGAACTCATTCTAAATTTTACACAGTCAAATAAATCCTATTTTATAAATAAATTATAATTACTCATATTTGTACACTTTTAGAATTGCTTATAGTTTTGGAACAATTACTTTTAGTGATACACTCCTTAACAAAAATACTATTACCCCAGCAACGTAACGTAAGGATGTTTTCTTTTGGACTGTTTTCAGTCCCAGACCAGACCTGACTTAAACAGACCAAACAAGACCAGACCAGACCAGATTTGGGCAGTTATAAAATACACAGAGACCAGACGTTTACCAGACCAGTTCAGACCAGACCAGACCAGACTTAAACAGACCAGATCAGACCAGACCAGACCAGCAAATTTTAGTCCAAAAGAAAACATCCTAACTCTTTAACATCAACTCATCATCAAATCCGTCCATTATACTACAAGAATCTGAATTTAACTATCGAATGAATTTTATTTGCTGGTTTGGCAAGTGGTTCCGTCTCATTTTTGTTGTATATTTGAATAGTTGGACTAATAAATAGTTATTTTTATATAATATTGTTATTGATCTATCATTCTATGGGTGATAGTACAGAATATTATCTAAAGTTAGTTTCCATCCCATAAATTGAATAAGATATACTCCGTATTGGATCATTTCTATTGATTCACTTTTTTGAAAAATGAAATATTGAAATACTCGATCTTCAGACTCGAGTTGAACAAAATATATACGAAGTTGCGTATTTTATTGTTTCTCCAAACGGAATACACAATGGGTCAGTAATAATTTAATAATATTTAATAAAATCATGTATTTTTATAACTTACGGACTCATCATCATATAAATTATAATATTCCCTCTGTTCCATTTTACTTAACCAAACTTGACTTTTCAATTCAATATGTTGTCTAACTTTAATCGATTATATGTTTATATAGAAAAAGTATCGATACTATAAAATAATATGAAAATATTCTTTGTTAAAAATGCTATCGTAAAAGTATAAAATTATTTAAATTTTGCATAAATATTTTAGTTGAAATAATTGGTCAAATTAAAGTATATCATCTTTGACTGAAAAAGTCAAAGATGGCTAAGTAAATTGAAACGGATGTAGTATATAATATTTATATAATAATAATTATATAACGGTGATGAAGAATTGATGATGAGAAGATGTGCCCAATATAATCTAATCTATATCAAGTGGTATGTTCATTCGTTCAAAAGTGTAAAAACATCGCCAATCCTATGCCACGTAACATATACGTAGTATATGGGATTGAAAACAGTTTTTATAAGTTTATTATACGTAATTACATAAATATGACCAAAATAAAGATGGTTTACAAAAATATGATTCATTACTAGAGTAGTAATGAAATCATAGTAATTTATGTTCAAGTTTTGAACTTTAGTTACCACAGCACTACGTTGTAGTAATGAATAGTCATATTTATGTAAATAAGTTTTATTTTAGTAATATTGTCATAAAAATCCGACTCATAGACATTCTTGATTCGATTTGAAACAGGCAGAGAAATGATTATTGAATATGTTTAGAAATATATACTTTCGTTCTGTTTCGTTTCGGATGTGGAAGCTGAATGGAACATGATTACTAGCCCTCACAAATATATTTATAGGGAAAGAGCTTAAATGTAAAATGTATAAATATCCCTATTCTATTAGAAGTTTCTTTAGGAAGTTTTCTTTTGGATTGGAATTTGCTGGTCTGGTCTGGTAAACATTTAGTCTCTGTGTATTTAATTTTATAATTACGGAAGTCTGGTCTAGTCTGGTCTGATCTGTTCTGGTTTGGGACGGAAAACACAAAACATCCTTAATTCTGCATGTTTAATTAATGTATTCGGTTTGGATGTACTGATTTACGGATTTAGCACTCCGTATGATTTAAGACCAGAAAATAATATTATCATCACTGTACTTTAAAATTGGATCAATGTGATTTGATAAACTTCAATTGCTGGATCAAACCGAACCAAATGCCCAGACCAGCTAACTTGTACCATTCAATAAATATCCAATAAAAGAAATGTGATAGAAAAACTGGACGACCGGTTAATTATGAGCCACTAGTGGTATGCAAATGACATGAGAATGTGATAAGAATATATAATTACATATATTATTATTATATCTAAGTTGGATGACCCAAAAGCCAAGCATTAGTCGCAATCAATCACTATAACATACACCACTGTGCCTTTGGACCGTAATGTATACAATTATTTCTTACTTTCGAACTAATACCAAAAAATTACACAAAAAATATATAAATGCAATCCATAGTAATTCTTACTATTTTTTAAATACTTAAGGTATACTACGTAGTAATTTTAAATATAGATGTTTGGTAATATCGTTCCCCAATTGGTACTTTTCACAACATCCATTTTTAAATAGATACAACATTTTGAATTTTAAACAATTCACATGCTTTATTTGATTACATTTTTTATTATTAATATATTAGAAATCTAATTTTGAAAAATATTGTTGAATTATTCTGTCTTTAAATGTTAAGAGTTATGTAAATAGAAACTTTTGGCCTTCATGTCGTGTTTGTCACCTCCCACTTTTTAATCTCCTCAAATACCTAGTGTGCCCATAAGTAATAAAGAATAAAAGAAGCATAAGTTTATTTGTTTGTTTACATCAAAATGAAATAGGGCGAATATTTCAACATGCCTTTTAATCTAAAGGCATAAACAATACCTTTATTATTGATATTATTGTAATTTTATACCTCAATTGTTACATCACTACCATAAATTTATGTAAATATTTCAACATATTTTATTATTCAATTTCTAGCAAAAAAAAAATCCTTTATGACAGCTAAATTCCATGAATATGTACAATCCGGCGTCCATGATAACATGAAAATAAAAGTAATGTACATTGGACTATTCATATGGAATTCCGAGCACTATGCAGATTTCTGAGATAAAAAAACGTACTTATTTGTTTCATTTAAGAATGAACTAGAGTACCAAATTGACACAAAATCACTGATTGAGATACTCCGTACTATTTATACAATTTACCCTCCATTAATTAGCTAATGTATCTAGTACTCCGTATATGTGGATTTATTGTTTTGTACTAGGTCAACCATTAGCCCAATGGTCACTGAGGTAGTCATTTGAATTGAGGCTTCATATTCAAGTAGTAGTAAGTGGGAGTTTCCAAAGTGGTGAATCATACTTCTATAATTTTGTCCACCACTTTGTCCCGTATCTGAAGTGTTGATGATTTGTACTACCTTCATTCTTAAACTTTACATTAACCACAGGTTCATTGCAAAAAATAATATACCAATAAATGTACCAATAAATTAGAATATTATTAAATTTGACTCGCAAATTTTTAAATCCAATATTTAATTTTTAGATTTTTATACTCATATAAAATTGTACTTTGCGTATATTAAAGATCAAAATTGTGTTTCGACAAGTGTGAAAAGCGGGTTGGTGTGCTTACTTAAGAAGATAAATAATGAGTATGTGGGTGTTTGGAACTGATTCTGCTTCATCTTCTTTTCTAAAGCACAGGCAAAGCAGAATCATTTTTCCGAAGCTGGTTCCCCCAGCTTCTACAAAAACCGATTTTAAGAGTAAATTAGAGCACCAGAATCATTTCTACACTTTTACCCAAACACTTCAATTACTGCTTCTGCTCTTTAAAAGAGCAGAAACAGTTTTAAGAATAAGATCCAAACATCACTATATATATATATATATATATATATATATATATATATATATATATGGAGAGGTGCATAGAGAGATAGAGATGGTTGAGTATATATATATATATATGAGTAATCTTCCGGTCAGGTATACCTGACCGGAGCCGCCGTCCGGCCTCCTCCTTTTGGGGGCCTTCCCGGTGGTATTTTTTGCTCAAATTTTTTGTGTATGTTCCTCATCAAGTCTAGTTCATCCATACCAAATTTCATCAAAAAATTCAATCGGGAAGGTCGTCAAATAATTTTTGCAAGTTAACTGGTCCGGAAAATACAACTAGACTTGATGAGGAACATACACAAAAAATTTGATCAAAAAATTTCATCAAAAAACTTGATGAGGAGGCCGGACGGCGGTTCCTGTCAGCTATACCTGACAGGAACATTTGTGTATATATATATATATATATACTCCGTATATAGACCGATAGATCGAAGGAGAGAGAGTTGAAAACCAACTCACGCATGCGTGCTCAATCGATCACTTCTTTTATGAATCAATCTCCTTTTTTCAATTCGATCCCTCTAAGCTACCACGCTCTTCCATGTGATAGATTCTTCATCCAATCATACATACAATTTCTTCTGTGGGATAATATAAAAAATTAATCACATGAGGTTGAACACCCAACAGGTTTCCGGCGATCATCTTCTCCCCCCAGCTCCGGCGTCCGTACAGAAACAACCACCGCATAAACCGCCGCAGGATCAGCCTTTGAAGTGTCCGAGGTGCGCCTCAACAAAGACCAAGTTCTGTTACTACAACAACTACAACAAGTCCCAGCCCAGGCACTTCTGCAAAGGCTGCAAACGCCACTGGACGGCCGGCGGCACCCTCCGCAACGTCCCCGTCGGCGGCGGCCGCAAGAATCACGGTGGTAGTTTTCACAAGCGCCTCATCAAGACTGACAAACGTGCCGCGCCGGCCGCTCCCGCCGCGGCGTGTGATCAAGAACCACCGGCCGGTACTGATTCAATTAACGGCGTGAAGATTACTAACGTTGACCCGTCTTCGCCGTTAGTTCCACGTGGCAACGACATAAAAGTCCCGTCTTTTCCGGTCCCGAGCTCTAATTTCTGCTACTTTGATAGTGATATAATCCATAATTGGGTGGAGGTAACACAATTAGATGATAATAATTTGTCTTCTTTGGGTAATTATGCATATAGTGACATCATTGGAGAGTTTGATTATGCCGAGGAATCAGCAATTACAACGTTAATGCCATTCACAAGCTGTAATAATACCATTCTTTCTCATCAGCCATATTGGAAAGACGAGCAAGAAGAAGCAATGGATATTACCACCTTCTGGAGTTTAGGTGATATAGATTCTCTTGTTTCTGCCGATCTCAATAATACTCCATGGGATGATTTAGAGATCAAACCCAAGGGAAATTCATAGTTTTTTTTTAATTTCCAATTCTTTTTTATTATCAAATATCAATTATACTAATATACGTAGTAGGAAGTATATTATTAGAAAATAAACACATTCATTTCCGACCAATTTAGGTAATTGGTCAGCGTGAATTAGTTGGAAATTTTAGCCTACTGATTCAATCATTAATATAAACTGTTGTGATGAACGGGTTTTAATGCTTTGTAATCTTTTGTAATATATAAATCCCGACATTAATCCATGTGTGTCATACATAGTAATTAATTGCTCACATAATAACACCCTAAAATATATAACAATTTAGCTGTTTCAGAATCATATGATTTAATATCAATATGCATTAAGTAAATTTATCAAGATTAAAGATTTCTGAAGTAATAAAACATGCTAATCTTTTTTTTCAACAAATAAATTTATTCTTTTATGATTTTTGCGGCAAAGGCCGTGTGCGATACGTCTAATTAGTAGGGCCAGTTTTGGAGCATGAGCAAGTGGGCATGCACCCAAGACCCATTGCTCCTCTAGGGCCCATAAATTTTCTAGTTATATATACACACACACACACACACACATATATATATATATATTATAAATCTATAAGAACTTAATAATGAAATAAATTTATAATTTTCTTTATACTTTCAATTCATTGTTCAACAACATCTACATGTTACAAGTTTAAAATTTTGAAACATCCACACCAAAATTCATTGAGAATAGACTTCAAAATTTCTTTTATTCATTAAGGGTTAATGCATTAATTTTTTATTTTTCCATTTACTTCTCTCATGTAAACTCATGATTCATTGATAGTATTTTGTTAACTTTTTTTATTCTCTCATATAGATGAAATATTATTAAGTTATACTCCGTAGTGTATAGAATTTAGAAATTTACAGTTTGTTTGTATAGTGAAAATGTGATTTGAAATATGAAAATGTTACTTCATATATGATATAACTTTCATATCTTTCCCAAATTCAAATTTTTGTTGAAAATAAAAATTGTACTACTTTTTCATTTGGTACATAGTATTTTCCAAAGTAACTTATCAAATATTTAAATACAATCTTTCTAACCGCCTCATTGATTAATTTGTTTGATATTCGTATTTAGATGACAAAATTGCTTAGTTTTGATTATAGTTTTTATAAGCAAAATAAACATTCAGGCCTACTCTATTTGTACTGTCTCAGGCCCATAAAATGTTAGAACCGTGCGTGTTAATTAACTCAAGAAGGGCTGTTTTTTTTTTTAAATTTGATCAGTCAATTTTAATTATTTATAACATGAGGTAATCTGTTTAGCACATTGAACTCGATCAAGTTTACTCGGTAAGAAAATATGATCCTTCGAAATGAGATCACGAGAAATGACACAACTTGTGTGGTGTATATAGAATTGATTTTGAATATAATCAATCATTAGTGGTGTCAAATCCAGTGAACATTGGTTGGAAAGTATAAAATTAACATTGGTTGAATAATATTAAGTTGTTGATCTAAATTTTATTGATAATTAAAAGTTGTTGGCATATTTCGCCCAGCATGCCAACAGGCTCAAATATGCCTGCTAAGGTATCGGGTCGTGCGGGATGGACCGGACCGAACACTTCACTCATCACCCTGCTTGCCCTTTTCTTGGAGAACAGCCCAATCCACTGGAGACTTGATGGGAAAGCAAGGAATTAACGAGAAATGCATTTAATTAGGGGTGAACCGGGCCAGGCTTCGAGACGGGATATGGCAAAAAATTTAAAAAGTAGTGCAATCGGGCTCGGGACCGGCCTGGGCCCGGTCGGGTCAAGAAGAAAACAAGGCTGAAGCCCGCCCTTATAGCCACCATGCTGGGCTCCGGACCGGGACAGAGCCAAAAAAGTAGTGGGCTGGGTCGAGCCTCAATAGTACCGGGCCCACCACATCATTCCCACCTACATCGCATCTCAATCCATCCCTACATTTAATACACTAGATATGAAAGATTTTGATTGAGAATTAGCAACTCGGGGCTCAACACATCATCCCCCACCTACATCCCATCTCATTTTCGTCTCGTTTGGTTTGTCTTCCCTTTTTGAATTGTCCTAAGATAAGTTAATGTACTTTTTTAAAAGAAATATATAATATACCATCATAATAGAAATAGTAATAATCAACTAAATTTGGTGAATAGAATTATACGATAGTACTAACTTTTTATTTAAATTTTAAATTTATTTCCTTTGATGAGTTGATCTAACAATATCTCCATTGTCTTCTCAAAAAAAAAAAAAACAATATCTCCATTGTTACTTTACAAATTATTTTCATTCATATCTCGTGACTAGACTTTACACACGCCAACATAGGCTTGCGTGTGTGTACTCCAAGTCTTCAATCTTCAGAGCTTTTTGCGATCCTACCATTCCTATGTAGGATCTCAATTCTCAAGTATGATTACCATGTATGCAAAAAATGCTCTGAATTGAACAAGGATTACATTTCTAGAAGCATCATTTATGTTGCTTTAAAATCATTAAAACATGAAATCTTAAATATATAAAAACAAATGAATCAACCAATACACAAACATAACAGAAAGGAACGTGACCTAGATATACTACGTACAAAGTTGTGTTCAGTATCTCAGTTTCGCTTTCTGCCATATCTTTATACACAACTTTGTACGTAGTATATCTTAAGGTCACGTTCCTTTCTGTTATGTTTGTGTATTGGTTGATTCATTTGTTTATATATTTAAGATTTCATGTTTTAATGATTTTAAAGCAACATAAATGATGCTTCTAGAAATGTAATCCTGTGAGGAGAGGATACAACTATAAAAGAATAGAAAGATTTTTTTTCTCATTAATAATGAAGGCTGATGTTTAATATGGATATGAACCATTTAAAAAAAAGGTGGAATCTATGTTGATGGGAGAAAAGGCTGAAGCTCATAACTGTCAATATAGCCTTAGGCAATTGCAATATATAACCTGGGGGAAAAGCACTAGCAATCAGGTTTTAACAAATGTGAGCACCAAAAGTCTAAAAAAAGAAGCTCTTGGCACATATGTTACACAGTAAGGAGACAATTGTGTTCAACAATGTGTTGTGTGGCCTTGCAGTCTCATATCATCAGTTCATCACCGTTGAGGTCTTTTTACGCCTATACCCTGTCGGCAATTCCTGCAAATACATTCGTAAGTGATCTCCCGTTGTAGGCTTGTAGCAATACAAAATGGAAATGAAGTAACTATATGCTAATGGAATTCAGCCACTGCTGAAAGCTAAGAGCCTATTTCATTAAGGTAAAATATAGTTGAAGCCTTGAAAGACAAGTGACAGAAGCTGCTGAAGTTGCAAAATTTGTGCTGCAATTGGCTAAATCTTAAATGAATTGTAAAAAATGACATGTTCAATAAAATAAAATCAGAAGTTAAGCTAAGAGCGGCATTTTCTTATATTTCAATCATTTATTGACAGAATGCATGTGATACTTATTCAGTTATTCATAATATAACTTCTAATCAATAGTCATATAAGACTGATAATAAAATTTGCCTCAAAAAAGACAGACATATGATCATATGCGGTGTTTTTCCCTTCTACTAAACGTGTAATTAAAAGTTTGACTCAATTGACATGTTCTGCTAAAATTATGGCCTAAGTAGCACCGGGACGGAAACGGGTACGGTAACGGGGACGGAAACGGGGACGGGGAAACTCTAAACCCAAAATATCAAGATACGGGTACGGCAAGGAAACGCCGAACTAAAAATTAAAATTTTACTAGTATGAGTAATGTTTAAGTCCAACAAGTACGAAATAATCAAACAAAACATATGTCTTTGTTATAAAAGCAAATCCCACCCACCCGTTGAGTGAAAAAGCTAAGCAGTAAGCAGCACCGCAGCAGCAGAAGGCCTTCACCAAATCACCAAGTCCAGCCTCCAGAGGAGATCGTTCTGCTCTGCGTCTCCCTTCGTCACTGACTCACCCAGCGTTGTTGCGTCGCTACAGTTCAAGAGAGGACAATAATCGTAGAGGCGGACTCCAGCGAACTGCGCAGGTTTTTTTTAAACACTAAATGCCCGATTGCGTAGCTCATTATTGACCGCCCTCAATTTTTTTAGAAAATTAAGTGGAAACGCACAGGCCCAATGATATTCCCGTTTCCGAAACGTTTCCCAACCCAGCCCAACAGCCCATGAGCAAAGAAACGTTTCCCAGCCGTTTCCGGGCGTTTCCCGGCGTTTCGCGTTTCCGAAACGTTTCCGGGACGGGAACGTGGTCTAAATCGGCGTTTCCGTGCTTCCTAGATTATGGCGTGTTGAGCTAAATCTATCAAACAAATTCAAAAATATTTTTTCTTAGTAGAATTCAAAAAACTCAACCTGAAAATAAAGGTAAAATAACATTTTGTACTGTAAGAGAAGAGCCGCCACTTCAAGTGACGGCTTTTCTTAACAACGATTAACCCAACAGTATTTTGGAAATTATTTTTAACCCAACAGTATTTTTGGAATTATTTATTTAATTAGCATTATTCCGGGAAAAAACTCCTACTTTCTTCCTATTACAAACTGATCCAGGGAGTATCAAATAAGTCATTGTGTTTGGGATGACTTATTTTTGGAACACGTACTCTTTAAAGTACTTTAAATTTAAGGATTTTGTCTTTGGGAGGAAATAGAAAAAGTGTTTTTACTTCCCTTTTTTCTTATACAAGAAAGCACCAGTTAGTAATATGCACTTCTTATAAAAGCACTTATAGGATAGCACATGTGATCCCAAAGAAGCACTATGGTAATATGATAAAACTAAAAGAGGTCGATAATCAGAACAAATCTTCTATCAAACGGGCACTTAGAATATACTTCAAGGTTTAGTAAAACTCGCCTATTGAGCTGCATCTTCAGAAAACCGAGCATCAAACGGAGCAGAAGTGTGAGTGTGGGATGAGGCACCAGCTGTCCCAGAACCTTGCTGAAGTTCAATCACTAACCATCTGACAGCTTTACTCATCTGCTCCAACCGAACAGCACTGATGGGCTGTACACCACCTAAAGCAGCTGGCTGCCCAGAAAGAGAACCAGTTGCCTCATCCACCAAACATTCAGACCCGATTCTTTGCTTCACAGACTCCACAAATTCCTCTGCCTGATCACATGCAACTCTGAACAACTCCCAACGTTGCTTGAAGTTTTCTAGAGCAGCATCAGTCACCCCAGTTTTCAGACCACCAGAGCTCTCCTTTGACTCAAGTACATTGGCTGCTGCTGCAACAAATTCTAGGTATGCGTTGTTTAAAGAATCCACAAGATTGTCCATCAAAAAGAGCCTTCCTGAATACAACCCCACCAATGAAATTCGGTTGAAATACAACAGACGCAGTAAAAATGCATTTTTGTAGGATCATTGATGTGCTGAAAATTTGATAAGACACATATAATATCAATTCATACCGCTCAAGAAAATGATAGTGAATGGATGATTTAGAACATAAGAGTAAGTGAGAAAGGTGCTAATTCTGTTCCATGCTGCCAACTACATTCCTATTTCAAGCTTTTGACTTTTGAACCTAACATAATGTATTTTTATTTTATCTTCTTGAGTTCCAGATTTGATATGCTTGAAATGACTAGAACTCTCAAATTTGTAATTCTTTTACTTTTGAACTTTGATTTTTATAAGAGATAAAACTATGATAAATTCAAAGAACCGAAATATAACTTTAGGATACATAAGTTTGTGTGTATGTGTAGTTTAGATTAGAATCTTTTAATGTATGACATACATAATATATATATATATAAAGATTTATATCCCCTTTATATGTTTTACTATACCATATAGAATGTATAGCAGTACAAAACTACAAATCCCAAACTTATCTTTCTTAGATTTCCGGTGTTGCCTTCCAAAGTGAGATTGAAGTCTCTAAAAACCTCTGTTTTGTTAAAAATCTACGAAAGCATTTCAACTTAAATCAACATCACAAATAAAACCCATGTAGTGATTTAAGACAACAATTAGAGTGATTATTCAAGTGTAATACAAGGAATCTCAAATAAGTTTCAAGAATTACTCGGTCAAAACTCAAAACAGAGGTTGTTATCTAGGGTTGGGTTAGATTTTTCCAGATGTGGGTTCAAAGCTGTGGACATTCAGTTTTTAAATATAGTTTATATACAGCTTTTAAATTGAATAATCATAACTTAATCTATAAAATCTTCATTAAATTTAAACCATTTCAAAATATTTGTCTATCAATAAATCCAGAATAACAGCGGAATTAAGATTACCTTAGTTGACTTCAAACTTTTTTAAAGCGAAAAGCGTCCAAAAGCGATGACCCCGAGCTTTGCTTCAAAGCGAAAGCGCTTATCGAAGCGAAGCTTTCTCACAAAAAGCGATGATTAAAAAAAATTAAAGAAAATATAATATATAATGAATACTTATGTCATAAATGCATAAGTAGTCATAAAAGTCATTCAAAAAAATACTAGAGCAGCATAAAGTTTCAAAACATTCATCACACAATCACACAAAAACACATAATTAATCATAAAAGTCATAAAGGAAATACTAGTGTGGCATAAAGATAAAAACATTAATCACACAATGTCATAGTTTCATTAAAACACACACTGACACACTGAATAACACAAAATAAAAAACAAATCAATCATAAAAATCAAAGTGAATTTAATACAAGAAGAAACTGAAAATACAGAGTACAGGACAATAAAAAAAAACACAAAATTAAAACTAATCAACCAAAAAAATTCAAAGGGAAGAATATACAACTGTGGCTTAAAGACACGTTAAAAGTGAAAGAGTAAACAAATCAACCACAATAAAAAAAACAGAGTACATATGCCACAAAGACTGGACATAAAATAAAATTGAATAAAAACCTGTAGAAAAGCATTGATATCATCGTTGATCATTCAGCAGTAAAAACAAATTCTACCTCAGCAGTAAAAACGAAGATTGAATAAAAACTTGGAGGAGTAAAACGAAGACTACCTCAGCACTTCAACATTATTCGATCGACAAGGAATACCTGGAGAATCTTCTGGTTGTCGCAGGCTAGCAGCTCTGGAGAGGTCTTCTGGTTGTCGGCTTCAGAGAGAGAAGAACGAACGATGAACGATCACAGCTTTCTGGTTGTCGCAGCTCTGTAGATGAACGATCGATTTGTCCTGCTAAACGGACTCAACCCTAGTAATCGTAATGGCAGAGCGCAGACAAAAAAAAAAAAAAAAAAATCTTTGACTGGTCAAGCGCTTACGGGATAAAGCGACCGCTTCATTGAAGCATCGCTTACGGGAAAAGCGGAAGAAAGCGCCCGCTTTCTCACAAGGTCGCTCTACACTTTTTCATGCTTTTTCTGGCTTTTGATAAGTCTGGTTGACCTCACCTCTTTGTGCCCCAAACTGTTCTTAATATCCCGCATTAAACAAGTACAAGTTAGATACAAAAAGATAATTTATACATTTGAACAAGGATCATAAACTTATTAATTATGTTAATCAACACAATTACCAGAACAGGTGTAAATGTCTGTTTATAGCATTCAGATATCTTTATATCTTTATCTTTATGTAATATAAAGTAACAGATTGGGGCAACGATTGGAGGGAAAATCCCGCCCAAGAATAAGGGCATAAAAATGGAAATAATTGTAGAATGTAAAAGTAATCATTGTAGAATGTAACAGTAAAATCCCGCCCATGAGAGGGCATAATACACGTATGAATGTATGGTACGAAAAGATGGAGAATTTATTGCCCATAAATCCTTGTAAAAAAATGTGTGTAAACCATTTGCAATTGTGGTAATCTGCCAACCTGCCATAAGAAAGTTCTCCGTCACTAAATAAAAAATTTCGGTCACTAATTGTATTGTCCAATTACACACCCCGATATTGTCCAGCTGAGCTGAGGGGTCTTAACAGGTAGGGATACAAGGACAAGAAGAAATGGGAGAGGTTGAAGAGATGATATGCCAATGAGGTTTGCAAAGATAAGTTCTATTAGTAATATAGTCTAGTTTATCCATTGTCCATTCTATTTGAGATGAGAAGATACACTCCAAAGTCCATTTCAAGATAGAAAGAATAGAAAATTCCTTAAATAGGACTAAAAAGGATCACCATTATTTTCTTCCTAAAATAGGATTCACTCACTCCTAATTGGGGATGTTTTATAAATTCAAGTCCCATTTTGGGAATAAAACATAATTAAACCTTTTTATGCACTTTGTCTAATTCTTGGTCCTATTTAGAACCATTTGTTTAGAAAGAAATATAGAAGGTGCTGTTTTTTTTTTTTGCAACCATACATGTTTTGTACTTTTGTCATGTAAAAATTCCTCCAAATTATAGCTTGATAAGAACCTTCTTTGGTTCATAAAAAAAACAAAAAAAATGTTAAAGCAATTGTCACACACCAAAAAGCTATATATAAAACAATTAAACACTATATAAGGCTTTGGGTTACTCCTCCTATCAGGTTGACCTTTTAGGATTGAACCCTAGGTCCTAACATGGTATCAGAACCAATTCCGATTGTAGTTTGACAACTTGTTTAACACCCAAGATTAAGTGTAACACCATCCCCAAGTGTATTTACTTTTAAGTGAATATGGTATTTTAACCTTATTGAAAAGGTTAACGAATTTATGATGTCCCGAATTTTATTAATTCTTTCGCACGAATAGTAAATTCGCACGTGGGGCCCGCACCGGGAGCGGGGGCCGCCCGATATTCCCGGGGCCACATAAATTATTCATCTTGGTCTAGATAATAATTATATGGTGGTGGATAACCCATTTGAGCCATGGAAAGATCCAGAGTTGACCGATTGGTCAAAAGAGGCCCAAATACCGGTATTGGCAATTTAACCGATAAAAGCCCGAAATTGAATTTCGGGGACTTATAAATTAAAGTTGGGGAATGAATATTCATTATAAGGGTCACAATGATGGAGAACACATAATATATTTTAATTGACCCGATAAAATAAAATATATTTAAAACAGTCCGAAAAATACAACTTTCGGGACCGATTGTACACTTCGGAGCATATTGGGATGGCCTCTCACAAGGGTGGGGGCCACCCCACGAAATTAGCAGCCAAGGGGGGGCTGATTGGCTCCAATGGTTGGCTGAAAGAGTCTTCAGGTGATGGAGGAAACATGTTTGACATGGAAGTTGGCCCATCTCACCCATAATTGCAAAAGAAACAAAAAGAAACCCACCCCCTCTTTCCCTCTCTCACCCACTCGACCACCATCATCCAAGGAAGAGAAAACCTCCCAGAAATATACCTCCTCCATAGCCAAACTCGTGCTGCAACTCAACAAGGAAGAAGAAGGAAGTTTGAGGAAGAAAAGGGGGTGGAAAAGTGTGTTGATTGAGGTAATGACCTTATACAAATTTTTCTTTGTTCATTAACAACCATATGGCTTACATGGCATGTGAGGAACCCTTATAGTAGCTCTAAATTCTTAAGAATGTAGAAGGAGGGGTTGAGAGGAAGTTCCAAGTCCAAGAACGGACATAGGAGCCATAATAACCGGTTTACCGGAAAATAACCTTTTAGAGGTTATTTGTATTGATTAAGGTTTTATGATGTTAAAACCTTGTTAGGAACTTGATTAAAGTGTTTTTGAGCCTCGCCGGAGTTTCGCCGGAGTTGGTCAAAGTTCGCCGGAGTTGGTCAAAGTTCACCGGAAATTAGCCAAAGTTCAACTGGGGAGCGTAGAACGCGCGTGAGCTCACTTAAGGTGAGGATGACTGACTATATTGTTTATAATTATTGGGTTAATTTCATAAGATTGCCTAAATGAATTATATGTGTGTGGCATGATTTAATTATGATTAAAAAGGCCTAAATGGAATATAGTATCGTTTATAAGAGAAAATGCATAATATACAAAGTTATGAATAAATTGTGTATGATTATGTGTTGTGATTATGATGGCCCAATTGTTGTATAAATTACAAATTATATTGTGATAAATATACTTTTACCTCATGGAGGGAATAAAAGTGATATTTTGATATTGAGTCAAGTTATACTTGAATGTGGAATTGAATTGAAATGTACGAATCATTATGAAATTGAATTGGTTTATTAAGATTAAACGACTAGTATTGAAAGACTAGTCGGGGATGTTAGTTCAATAGTGCTTGGGAGCTAATCCCAAGATATTGAAGCCAAGTAACTTTAAAGGATAATTAAGGTGGACTTTATGAAGTCAAGTTATATTAGGAGTAGACCTCAAGGGTTACTCAAAAGGAATGGAGCCTAGACTAAGAAGTGGTTTAGGGATTAGATGACGTGACTACGAGCCGAGCTCTAGCACGTGGTAGTATGAATATGAGCCGAGCTCTAGCAAAAATGTAGGAATGACTATGAGCCGAGCTCTAGCAAAATGTAGTGTGACTATGAGCCGAGCTCTAGCACAAATTAGTATGACTATGAGCCGAGCTCTAGCAAAAATGTGGTGTGACTATGAGCCGAGCTCTAGCACAAATTAGTATGACTATGAGCCGAGCTCTAGCATGAAGGAACGTGAATTAATTACAAAGTAATAACAGCCTAAGTTGAGGGTCTTGGAAATTGAAACTTTGATTATACTTAGTATAGTTGTCATTGTACTTGTCAAATGCTTCCAAGTACTGACCTCCCCTTCACGGGGGAGGCCACCTCACAGTTTCAGGTCGGGATTAAAGCTTGCTGTTACCGCCCGTTTGCTTCGGAGAAATCAAAAGGAAGAAGACGTGGTTCTTGCTTCTTCTGTTTCTGTTTTGAAAACAATTTAAATAATGCTCATGGATATTCTTGTAAATATTTATTTAGGGCTTGTATGCCCATGTTGCCAAAGTGTGGCATGCACATTTGTACTAAACAATTCCGCTGTTTTAAATGATTATTTTTACATTATGTTGTTTATGGATGTACTATGTGTGAATGGTATTCAAGACGCCTAGTATAGTATGGATGAGTTGGACTGCGGATGACTATTCGTACTGTACGGCGGGTTGTTAACGTGTCCGGTAGGTCCGGGGCGTGACATTAAGGGTATCTTGTTAAGGGTTTGTTTGGCCCGTTTATACACCCCGATATTGTCCAGCCCGGTTCGGGCTGAGGGGCGTGTTAAAGCAATTGTCTCACACCGAAAAACTATAAAACAATTGAACACTATATAAGGCTTTGGGTTATTCCTCTTATCAGGTTGACCTTCTAGGATGGAACCTCAGGTCTTAACAGAAACAAAAGACATCCATAATTTATTCGTGTCCACTTTTAAAGTTGACATACATATAATGCATGTTATATGGGGGTGGAACTGTATTTGCAAGTAGTAACCCAACAGACAAAATGTTAAATGTTCACACACATATACTCCCTCTGTCTCATTTTATCTATCCTACTTTTCTTTTTGGATGGTCTTAAAATAAGTGTCACATTTTCTCTTTTGGAAAGTGTAGGTTTTAGGAATTAATCTTCCTTGAATATATTGAGCCATACAGCCTGAATATATATACAGAGTACAGTAAACAAACTCCCTATGCAGATCCTAAAAAATAGGATCCATACAACAGCAATACTTATCTACTAATAACTGCAGTCTAATCTACTTTGAAATCTTATCTACAGCTACACACGTACACTATCTAATAATAACAATTAAATGTAACATTTTCTATACTCCCCCTCAAGTTGGTGAATATATATCATACATTCCCAACTTGCTTATAAGTAGTTCAAACACTGGTCTGAACAATCCCTTTGTGAAGATATCAGCTGTTTGTTCTTTAGTAGGTATGAATGGGATGCACACAATTCCAGCTTCAATCTTTTCCTTGATAAAATGTCTGTCCACTTCAATATGTTTAGTACGATCATGTTGTGACACCGCACCCGAACGTCCTTGAAAATTCGATTTAAAAATTTAACATTTATGTATTGAAATTCCGATTGCCAAACAATTGTAAAGCGATTAATGTTTTACGTAGTGCATGACTGAATATCGTACTGTTCAAACTCGTATGATAGTGTCGGGTTTGCAAACACTTTTCGGGACTTATTAATAAATAAAAGAGCTCAACATTATCTAAATAAGTGATCGAATGATTAAAAAGAATACCAATGCCTATAACCCTATCTTTGGCTTTTTTGAGCTAAATAATGGAAGTAGGATTTTCCTTCTATAATATCCATCAAGTAAATTATTGGGATGAGCCTACACATATTGGAGATCAATAATGTGATTTAGGAAGTTGACTTGTTCTAAATAAATTAGGATGAGTACAAAAAGACATCTTTTGACAAAGATAAAACAATAGGACCCATTTTCCCCATTTTTGGAAGTATTGGTAGATAATTTGGATCCCAAAATGATTGGGATCAATTGGGAACCACTCCACATGATATT